GAGGATTTGACAAAACATCAAAAGGCATTTTGGTTAGAAAAACATCAAAAGAAAATCCACGACTACGTTCACGCTTGCAACTATAGCTACATCCATGCCTATGTCCATAACTACGCCCACGCCTACGCATGCGCCTGCGATATAAATATCAAAATATTGCTGAAACTTACTCATCTTATTCAAATCAACTCAAAGATACCACAACAATGCAACATACAACATTGGAGAATCAGTGACACAAAGAAAAACCAATAATTTAAAAGGAGAGAATATCAAAAACATTTCCAAAAAACATTTGGGGCATATACAAACATTTGGTGCATATATAGACATTTGGGGCATATACAAAAAACTCAGTGCATATACATTTTGGGTTCCATATCAATCTAAGACATTATGCATATACATCATGCATGGCATTTTTTAAATCCATTTTTGGTTAAACTACAAACTTTTCTTGGGGCTCATTGTTGAACTAGCTTATCAGAGAAACAAACAAACACCTTGGTTGAGAACAGACACAACTGGTAAACTCCGATCTTATCTTTGATTTAGTTATCTAACAATTTGATTATAAAAAAACTATTCAAATATCTATCCTCTAGGTTGTGATAGATAGGAGAATTATATGGATTACATTATTTATCCTCTAGGTTGTGATAAATACGTAAGCCTACCCTCTTGTCCTTTATCCTATAGGTCGTGATAAATGCACAAGTTCATCCTCGTGGTATTTATCCTTTAGGTTGTGGTAGGTATGCAAATTATCAGGATTGTGTTGTTCATCCTCTAGGTCGTGGTGAATACATAAGCCTATCCTCGTGTCATTTATCCTCTAGGTTATGATAAATGCATAAGTTCGTCCCCGTATTGTTTACTCTCTAGGTTGTAGTAAATATATGAAATCTATGATATAATTCATTATGTTAAGTCTTCATGCGGCATTGGATTATCAACTCTATTTTATTCATCCCCTAGGTTGTGATGAATAGACAAAATCTGAGTTATAAGCTTACTATGTTAGTCTCGAAGCGTTAGTAAGTCAACTTACAAACTTGTGTTATTTACCTCATAGGTTACGATAAATATGCAAAATCCATGATCTCTTTTTAAAGTATTGACGAGTTATCCGTTTCGTCGTATCTATGTCGAATCAAAACTTTTTGATCAAACTCTGGTAAGATGATACATCATCATCTGTGCCTATTTTTTGTACTCTTGGGAACACTGTACAATGTATCCTTATAATCCTTTGGTCAGATTTTGAGGTCTTTCATTATTTAATAAACCTCTGATTCAAATGTGTGAGATCTGCATATTCTTTCACTATTCGATCAAAGAGTAATTAAATATGGGTAGTTGTCATACCCCAAATTTCCCCCCATCAAATTCAATGATAATATTATTACTATGTTTCTAGAATTATAAATCATATTGTGTAAATTTAATTGTATTTAAGTCTTGTTCTAATAAGGGTCTAAAATCATAAGAGAGGTATACTATCGACCATCAAAATCTAATGGCCCATTAAAACATTTTAAAAGGGTTTTTATTTTATTTTGTGGCCTTTCTAAGATCAGAATGGCTCATTGCGGTTTGAAGCCCATGTTTTAAATTTTTTTGGAATGTACAAAAATGGGGGTGCGTTGGTAAATCAATGGCCCAATAAATCAGTTTTTTTAGCCCATCTAGGTTACATTTTTATTTTTATTTTTGAGGGTTGACCGAGTCAATTTCTCTATGAAAAATTACTATTTAATTTTCACTTATTTTATCACTATAATTGTTATTGGAAAAAAAACTATTGTCATTTTTATCATAATTATTGTTAATTATTATTATTAATATTAACTATTATCATTATAATTATTTAATTATTATCATAATATTTGTCTTGAGATGTTGACCTAAGTCAAACTAAGGGTGAAACCATAATCCACCGTTTCCCTGTTCAAGCTATCCAAATCCAAATCCCAGAAATCCACACAAGTCCAAAAACGCATATCCAAGATCAAATCAAAATCAAGACACTTGAATCAAAAATCAAATCAAATCTTAGATTGAAAAATGTTTTTATTTGATTACTATGAATTTACATAGGATAATATCCTAGTACGTTACAAGACATAAACCCTAATTCAAATTACAAACAAATCCGAAACAGAATCACAATCAAATCCCTAAATCTAAATCAATTATAACTAGTAACGACAATCAACAAATTATTTCCTAATTTATCTAAATCTAAAACCTATAAATAGAATCCTAAAAATTCAAAGAAAAGGAGAAAAATTGGATACAAATGAAGAACAAAAGTAGGAGTAGAAGAGTTGAGATATGGGTTTCAATTTTTTAAACTCTAGATCTATGGTGTCGCCGCCATCACTTTCGAGTCCCGACTCTTATCCGCCGCATCACTGCCATCCCTCATACATGCAAACAGAAAGAAATAAGAAGAAATCATGATGAGGAACCAGAAGCAGGACGAAAAGAGTAACTACGAATTCAAGTAAGCCTGAAACCACTTAGCTTTTAGGGTTTTGATTGCCTAATTATTTGTGCTTTATTGCGTGATTGGGTTTTGATTTGGGATTTCTGGGTTTAAGTTTGGGTTTTAGGGTTAGGTTAGGGTTAGGGTTCATCCCAGAACCCTAGGGTTCGTGGGATTCAGATGGATTTTGGGTTAGGGTTCTTGGGTTAGATGAAGATCGTATGAAGGTTTGAATGTTTTTTGGAAATTAGGATGAAGCAATGAAGATCCTGGTTGAACTTAAACCGGAGATCTGGGTTTCATATGGTGGTTGGTGGTGGCTCGAGAGGCTGAGGGGTGGAGTCGTCGACAAAAGCGATTTCTGGCTGGCGGGGTGATTTCTAATCGCTTAGAGAGAAGCAAGAGCTTCTCTCTCTAAAAATATAACAAGTTTGTTTTTTTTGGGATAGAGAGAGAGAGAGAGAGAGAAAGAAGAATAGAAAATAAGGTCCAACGTTGGTTCTATGTTTTTATAAACCCACTATGTGTTCTATGCGTTTCCTTACCGTGCGCCCTCATATCACACGCCTCCGATTCTAATCAAACGATTTCAAAACGGCGTCCCTATCATAACTCCCAACATGCGCTCCCACACAACTCCAAGCGAACCCAGAATGTGTTATGGGCTTTCTCAAATTTCATTTGGGCCTAAGGGCCTTATAATTGCACCCCATGTTTTACTGCGTAACCGAAAAAATATACCTCCATGTATTCTGGGCCAAGTCCAACATCTGGACTTAGGCCCTTACTTTCTAGACCCCCTAATTTTGCTATCACGTTCAAACGTTCACCCCCATGTATTATGGGCCAAATCCAATATCTGAATTTGGGCACCTGTTATTCACACCCCCAGGTTTTACTGCCCTAACTAAATTTATATCCCCTGCATTTATTTTTTATAATTTAGTTATTTATTTATTTTTTTAACTTGTCACATTAACCTATTATTTTTCATAATTAATAAATAATTGTAATATTTATTTTTTATAAAAATATTTAACATATTTTTAATAAATTATAAAATAGCTATTTATCAATTAAAATCTCTTTTTAAAATACTAACTCTTTTTATATATTTGCAATAAATATTTTTCATTCAAGATTGCATCATATATTCGAAAATAGCTAACCAATCTATTACTAACTGCTTTTTACTAACATAATTCAAATATATTTATTTTTACAAATTCCGCTATTCACACACTCAGACTTGGTTCAAGAAAAAATCGAGATATTTTCATAATCCATAAAAAAACTAGCCATACGACTTAAAAAATCTTGGCGAATTCCCCTAATTAAAACTAAAACCCTATTCCTAAACCTTTAACCTAAACCTTATTATCCTTGTGAACAACGTAGATAAAAGGGTGCATTACACCTTCCCTTCATCTAAGTGAGTCAAGAATTTAAAATCTCTGTATCATCAATTAGGGTTATTCCGTTATATTCCCTTCTTAGGATAAAAACTAATGGTGGCGACTCTATATTTTCAGCCGGTTATTACAAGTCATAAATTATGTAAAGAGTGGCTCAACATTTTACAACTTATGCATCCTTTGTGAATAGCGGTAGTTGATTGCTGGCTTATACACGGTGTAGGATGGTGTGAAAGCATCATGTTAAATCTTCAATGGTATGACTTTCTTACTGATGCTATAAATATACCCTTGTCTAGTTGTGATGTTGTATTGGGCATGCAATGTTAAGGCAATATGGAGTCTTACAATGGAATTTTACCAATATGGCTATGGAATTTCCTATGAATGGTATGCATGTGAAGTTGCGTGTTGTTATAGAAAATAAAAGTAGGGTGGTTTCTGCTTCTAAATTGCATCAATTAGTGGTTGAAGATAGCTTATGTTATATGTTGCAGTTGCTACCTTGTTCCATAGAGGCAATGTGTTGTTTTGTAACCACTAAGGAGCTAAAGTATCCCGTGATGATGGCACATAGAGAATCTATTTTACATGAGTTCCAAGAGGTCTTTGAAACACCTACTCAGCTTCCACCCTTTAGGGGTATTCATGATCATCAATTTATGCTAAAGGATGGTTCTAAATGTGTTCTTATTTTCTTTGATGACATCTTAGTGTAAAATCCATCTTTGGAGGCACATACGGATCATCTTTGACAAGTATTTCAGATCCTCAAAGCTCACACCTTTTATGTTAAGAGAAGTAAGTGTGCATTCTTCACTACACGGATCGAATACTTGGGTCATTTCATTACACCTACATGAGTCACTACTAACCCAATTAAATTTCAAGCTGTGAGAGCTTGGCCGACACCTCGAATAGTTAAGCTATTGCGGGGATTTTTGGGATTGACGGGTTACTATAAGCGGTTTATTAAGGATTACAGTATCATTGCTTCTCCTCTTACTAATTTAATCAAGTGAGATTCTTTCCATTGGCCCCAAGAAGTACACACCGTCTTCACTACATTGAAAGATACTTTGAGTAATTCTCCGATGTCACTAAGCTCATGGGTCTTTCTTATGAAATTTTGTATAAGAAGGGTAAGGATAATGCAACTGCAAATGCCTTATCTAGAGCCTCTCATGGTGACGTTATGGGACTCTATCCTTAAGAGTTATGAACAAGATTCAGCTTTACAGGACCTAAAGCTACAGGTACTCTCTAATCCAGCCTTGCATCCCCATTTTTCTGTTTTGGACAATTTTCTATATAGGAAATAGAAGTTGGTCATTCCTAATGATGGATAAGTGTGATTAGTGATTCTACAATGGCTTCATTCTTCACATCAAAGAGGCCACTCAGGCATCGGGGCTTCTATAGCAAAGATCAATAGCATGTTTTATTGAAAAGGCCTTGCCAAAGATGTCACAAAGTTCATTCAGCAAATGTGAGACTTGCCTTAGATGCAAGTATGAACCTAGAGTTGTTACGAGTTTACTTCAGCCCCTGACAGTTCTAGAGGGAGTGTGGCAAAGTATAGCCATGGACTTCATTAAAAAGCTTCTTAAATAGCATGGTAGCGACACAATTTAGGTAGTTATTGATCGACTAAGCAAATATGCCAATTTTATTCCTATTGCTCTCTGTTTTACTGCATCAAAGTTAACTGAAATTTTCATTTATGAAATTTACAAGTTACATGGTGCACCCACCAACATTGTGAGTGACTGAGATACCTTGTTTACAAGTAAATTTTTGGATTTTTTTCCTTGGTTAGTTGGGCATTTCTCAGAGCTTAACTACAATCTATCATCCTCAATCAGATGGTGAAAGTGAAGTCCTGAACCGTTGCTTACAACATTACTTGAGGGCTATGACAAGGCAATGGCCTAAGGAATGGGTCAATTGGTTACCCTTGTATGAGTGGTGGTACAATACCACTTATCATTCTGTTATCCAAACTACCCCTTTTGAGATTGTGTATGGCCAAGCACCTTCACTGCATCTTCCTTATTTCCCTCAAAGTACCAAGGTTGAGGAGGTCGATCGAAGCTTCATTGTAAGGGAGTGATCCAAAAATTGCATGGTAACTTGGTTCGGGCTCAAGCATGTATGAAGCGCCAGGATAATAAACATCACAGTGATCGAGAATTCAAGAAAGGAGATTGGGTTTTCCTAAAGTTAAGCCCTATAGACAATCTTCGACTCAATATCTTTGTTTAGGTAAACTTCGGAATTATATTTTTACCTTTGGGTGTCTTATGACTCCTCTATTTTTTAAGGTATGAGCCATGCTTAAGTCATTAGGATTTCCTTAATATTCCAGACTATTATCAATACACTTGGAGAATAAAGTAATCTTTTAAGAATTGAATTAGTTTGATTTATTACCACCACCTCCTTGATTCATCCAAAGCTGAGGTTCAAACACTTTTATGTTTTCTACGTTGGAGAATCCACAAAAGCAGCTACAAACAAAATAAATCAGAGAGATAAAAAGACTTGTATCATATATAGCAATGATACAAAGACAAGTACAGAATCTCAAAAAAAAATATACTAAATTCCGCCAACAAAGAAACATGTGGTTTATACTATATATGCTTAAATGCATTTTTGTCTCTCTCAATTTTGATGTTTTTCAATTTTTAGTCCCTCATTTCAAAACTCAACTTTTTACTAAAACCACAAATCTTTGTAAGATCTATTAAACCCACAAATAAGCATGATAATAAGTTTATTTAACCTATATAAACACTTAAAAAAACCAATGCACTATACATGACTTAAACCACAACTGAAACCAATACACTATACTATGTTATGCAATGCATTGCTATCTTACCCACACCATTGCTTACATTAGAGCTGCAAAAGAGTATTTTCAACACAACGTAGTGTTAACTTGGAGGTTTTAACATGCCACCCCTGATTTATACATGACATCTCCCAATTTATGACAAAAAGACTATAATAGTTTTGTTGGATTTTTCTTCTTTTTTAAAATTTTCTTCTGCATACCGCCATTTTTTTAAAAAAATTGCGACACTAGAAACTTGCTAGGCGATACCAGAAATTCTTTAGGCAATACCGGAAATTCCGTAGCTGATACTGGAAATTCTATTGAACTAGTAAGTTTTTTACCAGAAATATTGGACTTTTTCGATATACTATATTGAAAATTTTGAAAATTACCATTAATATCAACCGGACTTTCCAAAATTTCCGATTTGTTTAATTTTTTTTGAAAATTTTCGGAAATTTACAAATTTCTGATAGTTACCATTTTTTTTGTTTTTTTTCTTCTAATTTTTTCTATTTTCTATTTTTTTAGTGAGGACCTTGGAGAAAGACGAGATTATTAGAGGCAGAAAGACCGACAAAGTTGTCGCTCAGGCCATGACTGAGCAGGAAGAGGCATCCAAACTTTAGGCTAAACGAGTTGTTCTGACTGGTTCACACCAAAAATAGATGGCTGAGCAGGCGTAGGGCCGATTTTGTGCACCCGGATGCCGAGCTAGTTTTGAGGCTAATGTTGACAAAGCACCTGTTGTTGTGGAGGTGTCTGGTCCTATGGAGGTACTTGTTGCTGTGGAGGGCCCCGCTTCTAATACTGCTGAGGTGCCTCCTGAGACTGTTAAGTTTCCTACTGATTATGTTGAGTTGCCTCCTACTGACGTTGAGGTGCATGTTGACGTTGAGGTACCCGTGGAAGAGGTTCCTAGTCACGAGGAGACTCCGACTGATACAAATGCTACAATTTATGCTTCTATAGAGGCATGTGTTCACATTAGTGGAGCCTTCCGAGGAGGACCCAGTGACAGGTCTGTGCTCACAGACTATATCGACCATCTTGCCTACTGTTTATGGTAGGGAGAGGTATATATAATATATGTCGAAGTTTAACTTATTTATGATTTATTATTGAAAACCTGTTGATTTTTTTATATATTTTGTTTGTTACAGGACCGTGTCCCGCTGAAGGTGACATCCAACGTGGCCAAGTTGAAGGAATGACCACAGACTGAGATGCATGAGTGGGTTAGGACTATTGTTCGGGATTTCAGTATCCTCGACATGACCGACTACTCGTTGACCATGCTAGACGCTCCCCTCCTGTCTACTTTCGTTGAGCGGTGACACTCAAAGACATCTTCCTTCCATCTTCCATATGAGGAGATGACTGTTACTTTGGCTGACGACTCTGCGTTGTTCCATCTCCCCATTGGTGGGTTCTTTTTCACCGCTCTTATTATCAGCAAGTTAAATGTTGTGACGACGATCGTACATGATATAAGAGTGACTGAAAATGAGGTGATTAAGGAGTTTGGCTACAATAGGGGTCTTCAGTTGTAGCTGTCTTGACTCCAGGAGAGGTACAATGATTTTGTGCTGGCATAGATGTATGAGGTTGCCGCAAGGGCGCACATGCTACATCTAGTAGCATGTACCTTTCTTGCAGAAAATTATCATAATAATATTGATGCTTGTTATGCATGGCTGTTCCGTGATCTTGACCATGGTAACTAGGCTTGGGGTGTTGTGCGTTGATTATTCTCTATACGGTGCTAGGAGCTACGAAAGTCTTTGAGACAAAGCAAATTTGTAGATATTTAAGTCTACTCCAGGTATATGGTCTCATTATTTATAGTAGTTATTTAACTGTTAGTTAAGACATTTACTTGTGACATTTCTTGTTTATTAGTTGTTGTGTTTGTTTTCTATTATTAGTTCTGGATATACGAGCCCTTCCCCCATATCGTTGACAAGAGGGAGCAACGTGTCGCGGATAATGCACCATGCGCGAGGAGATGGAGGTCCACACAGGCACATTCAAGAGGATTACTGGAGCACTGTTAGCTGGAAATTTCGACTAAGGATTTTAAAGTTAGACTTGAATATACTTCAGAATATTCCACTACTTTATTTATGTGAAGCCATAAAGGTTGAGATTCGAATTGAGTAAAATTCGTTGGAAAGGTTTACCAATTCGAATTATTGAATAAATATTGTTATTCGAAATGTGGCTAAGGTTTCAAGAATTTTTTCGTTCGACCGTCTTCAAAGATTGGCGCTCAAGATAAGAAGGAGATTCGAATTCAAATATTTTGATCTTATCCGAAAAGACGCGTGGAAGGCTCTGAGTTCGTAGAAGACATGCAAACAGAAACGTGGCATTAGTTTGTGTAGAAGACCGTTAGGGTCGAAGTAGTATAAATAATGGCTTTAGTATTTCGATTTAGGAGGTGAACATATTTGTACAAATTACTCAGAAATTACTCAAAGTACCAAGTGTTAAAGAGAAACGAGTTTATTGAGGATGTACGTATGATACACCCATTTAATATAAATGCATTTACTTTCTGCAGAATTTCCATTAAAATTTACTTAAGTCTTTTACCATTTCAAGTTTAAAAGTAATTTTACTTTCACTTTATATGCATTTTAATTCGACATTTGAAGCCATTTGTCTTCATATATAAAACATGTTAAATACAACAATCAAGTTAAAAGATTAATAAAGACACTCGTGTCCTGAGATCAATCTGATCGATCTTGCAAGTAACTGGATCCGTGAAAGGATTTGGAAGATCAGTGGTTGTTTACCAAAATTTGAGGGTAAACAAATTGGCACGCCCAGTGGGACCTGTGTCTTTATCCATCTTAGTTTTAACTTGTTTATTGCATGATATTGAGAAGTGGAAAACTAGCCAACAATACAAATCCTAGACCAAAAGGAAAACACATTATGGGAATGGCTAACCCACCCACTAGTGATGCGCAACAAGTTCACCCTCCTGTGGGAGGAAATACCAGCACTTTGAATACAAACGAAGTGATGACGGCGAGTCAAGGGACTGCAATGATCCCTTCAACAACAAGCGCTGCAGTTATACCCCAAAATACAAACACTTCAACTATATCATTAAACACCCATAACAAACATACCATTGTGTCTATGGCCAATCAAAATCCACCATTAACACCCAGGCCTTCGATAGGTATGTCTAGAACTTTTCCACCATGATTTACAATCCCAACATAATATCCTATATATGGCATGCCAACTTCGTTCATGACGGGATTTTGAAATAACACATCGACATACACCTGTCCCGTAACATCTACTTTATCACCATTGCAAGGATCAGAGTCTGGGATAAAACAATAGGCTAAAAACAATTCACAGCCAATCCAAATACCTGCTATCACCAGAAATACACAAACAGTCATAAGGCAACAAATGGATGATAGCAACCACGATATGTTGGGCGTATTGTCCCAACAGATGGGTACGATTTTCAACCCTTTAATTCAAAGCACTACACAAACTAACTTGCAGATTGCCCAAGCAAACCAACATATGGTAGCGCAAATAGGGCGTCTTGCAGATTTCTTTGGTGCGCCCAGAGAAGTAGTTCGGAAGCCACCCCCACAACCCACATGGGTAAGGGAGAATCAAGGCATCATATTCCAAGAAGAGCCAACCATAAACCAGGCCCAACCTTTGATTCACCCTGAAGCCGAATTCCAACAACCAATTCGAAGGGAGGAACCACCCAGACCCCAACAGGCTATCCCTAGGGAGGAACCAGGGAGAAGGGTAGTTTTGGTGAATCGGAACCAAGATGTTGATGAAATCCTTCAGGGTTGTTGACAAAATGATATGGTGGGAAACAATAACCTAGCAGCCTTAGTCGAAAGGATGGCACAAAATGGGGTAAACTTAGGTATGTTTAGACCAAATTATACATCCCTTTTGTCATAATATATTCAACAAACTGAATTGCCAAGGGAATGGAAAGTACCCAAATTCACAAAGTTTTCTGGTGATACTAGCGAATCTACCATAGAACACATCGCCAGATACCTTACAGAGGCAAGAGATATAGCAAATAATGAAAATCTAAGGATTAAATACTTCCCTTCTTCGCTGACAAAAAATGCTTTTACTTGGTTCACCACCCTCGCGGAGAATTCCATCCATGATTGGACTCGTTTGGAGAGGTTGTTTCCTGAACAATTTTAATATTAGTCTAAGAGAATTGGCAAATGTCAAGCGAAAATTTA